GGTCAAGGTGTGAAATTTTTTTATTTATCTTWATATATAACTCGGCAGCAAAAGCCATTAGTTAATCTATTAAACACTAATTAAAATTATTACAATTTTTTGAGGTTTACATTATGCTACATTATATTAGCAATTACAATTACAATTATATTTGATCTATAAGGTTGTTTAGTTTTAAGAAGGTTATAATTTTCGTGTTTTTATTGAGGTTTGGTCCAAAAATGTCATCTAGTGTTTCCGTCAAGTTGAGTTTTGTACGCTCCTGTTGGTATTATAATATTATGTGATGATGTGTTTGACTGTAATCTGTGTATTGCAGGTTTCACAGATGGGGAGTTCATCGTTTGACATAAAGAATCCGCGAGTTATCCTGGTGTATCCGTGTGGAATTTTGTTCTGACTAATTATGAGGAAATATAATTTCGTGTAAGCACTTGAAAATTATTGTTGCAATAATCACTAATAATTTATTAATATTTTTATTGATATACTTTCTAGACGTGTTGGTCATCTGATACTAAGAAATTCACAAAATTATCACTCTTACATTTATCCATAATTTAAAAAAAATTATCTATAATAGAAGGTATTTAAAATGCTTTTATCTATCAATTACGTTTTTAAGTTCATAAGTCTTAACACTGATGCACACCCGAACAGGACAATAATAATATACTGATTGAGACATTGAGTCCATATTTAGGAAACGATAAATAAAGATAAACTAACATAGAATTCGTACTTGAGAAAAGTAAAATATAAATATCAAGTACAGTAGTGARACAACTACGTATATCATTCTTATCATTTGTTTGACTTAAATCGGATAAAAATTAACGTTCTACAAGTAAAAATGAGAAATGCTCAGATCATAAACCAAATAAAAAAATATACAAAACCAAAGAAAAAATACTACAGTCAAAACAAATAAAAAGATTTGAATACCTAGGTCAACGTACATCGCATAAGCGAACATACAAATATTCAWCGGTGGAGGAACTGGGTTGTTGAAATTTGTTCAATATCTATAATCATATTAATTATAAATTAAATTTTAATGATTAAATAGTGTATGTAAAAAAATCAGCCATATAAACTTTTTCTCAATTCGCGATCATAATCAGCTTATTATAATGTTAGGTATGACTATATTATTTTTTACATATTCTATTTTATCATAAGTCATTCATTTATAATAAATTTAGCATATAATAATAACCATTAAATAATTTYCAACATGTATCACTGTAGTTATATGTACAATATTTTAAAGTTAGATTTTGTCATWTGCGCTCATTGCGATCCACCATTTTTGTCGCTTTACAGCAATATTTAAACAATATTATGTTGTCGTGAAAAGAGAATGATGAAAAAGTAATTTTAATTGACGAAATAAATTATACTTAAAATTAATATAAACAGGTCGTGTATTACCAATTAAAAATTAATATTATATAATGAACAGCTAATACATTTTTTAAAATTATTTTATTATCAACGGTACTGTCGTCGTCGTCCCGTTATTTATCACTCAAATATATATGCTTTAYAATATAATTTTTTATGAATACCTATAAAAAGTCGTACCATACATATTTCTTATAATTTTTAGTCAGAATCTTTCACAAACTTTCTATCTTTTTGCGTTAAAATACTATTCATTACGTCCTGTTATCGCTATTAGATGGCAATCTGTGGTAGACAAGATGGCCTATTGCAAATATTGTGGCAATTCTAAAGCTCGTTTAAATAACATATTATACTATACTGTGTCTAAATATAAATAAATTGAAGAYAAAAAAGCAAATAATAATTATACAACTGGCGGATGTTTACTCAATTGCAATCACGCAATAACGTTAGGTCGTGCGTTGTCATTGTGATTTTCGTAAGTCTCATTGGAACACCGAACATGACGTAAAATATGTAATAAGTATATTGTATGGATATTATACGTATGCGTAAAATCTAAAATCCATATTTTTTTTTCATTTCACACATAACCGTCCCGAGAGTGTAGTTTTTTTGATCAAAAATATTTCATTCCAGTCCTGTTAAATTTTCCTTTTTAATTATTTTTTAACAATTATATTCCTTTTCTGTGATCGTTTCCCTATCGACCTATATAATCTGAACTACTCGATCTAAAGAAAAAGTGTGACTCGAAATGTCACAACGACGGAAATTAGATGCGATGACGTGTTTCGGCCGAAGTGTCATAAATGTGTAATACAATATTATATAGGTAGGCATTATCTATTTATTTATCGCGTTCTATTTATTATATAGTATTATACTTTGTAAACAACTTTTTTCGATTTCCATAACCGTGATTTCATTGTTGTTCCCTTTCATATTATTATACAGAATAACGTGTGTTCTCATTAGTTATTTTATAACTTGCAGATCTGCCCTGAAGTTATAACCAAGGAACTACGTACAAATATATGAAATATGGCAAAGTTCAATCATTTTTCATATTAAATATAATATTTTAGAGCTCAATAGTACAAAATATGTACACATTATTAATTCATGGGGTAAAAGTAATGCTCCAAAACTTCCATTAACCTATAAATAGATACATTTTACATCAATGAATAATGAAAAATTGATATATTTTAATATAGTATTACACTATTCAACTATTGCGTATTATATCATTAMATTTCAGTCGGTATTTTGTTGATACAACAAAAATTCTCATTCAGTTATATATTATTATTTACTTATTCAACCCAGTGTTCATTTCCATTTTTCAATTTCCGACTATTCTAATTATAAATTCAATGATCGGATGAACACGTAAGTATAATACGTCAAACAGTATAGGTATAACATTTTGTTTCGATTCTGAGTCTTAATATTCTTTTTTTTTATCATAAAATTATTGATTTATAAATGTTTTTCAATCGTATAAGATATAATTAAGACATTGAAGAAAACAATA